ACATATAATCCCTGCCAGACATACTCCATCCCCTTGAGGGTCTCACATCACTTTGTACAAGTAGTGCTGAGTAGATTGTGTGTTCATTTCCTTTGTTCCAGGTTGCATTCTGCATCTGGCAGTGTGCATCTTTAGGACTGCAAGCTTGTTTTCTTATTTGTATCCACAGTAAAATCTAGTAAGTTGACAACACAGTTTTGTGAATGAAAGAAAGCAAGAACATGAGCTAATTTATTTATGTTAATTGTCTTTATGTGTAGTGCAGTTCTTAGCTATTTCACATTAAAACTTGAAAAACATAAATTTGATATTAAAACTTTTCATTAGAAAATAAATAAATAAAAATAAAGCTGAAGACTATGTAGAAATATGAGAAGTATTTTGCTGTAAGTCAGGTGAAAAAGCATATATAATGCATACTGCCTCTGTTTTCACTATCTAAAACACACATACATTTGTACAAGAAATGGAAGAGTGAGCACAAGCTAAAATTCTTTAAGAAAGTGATTTTGCCAATTTTTTGTTTAAAAATTTTATTTATATTTTCCTTTATTTTTTTAATTAAGGGAAAATTAGAACTACATGCATGTTTGGATGTTAAAAATGATAGTAAGCAAACATTTCCTCTTATAAATTGTATTTATTCCCCCATATTCTGTATTTTCTTTTATGCCTTAGATATCTGTTATTTCTGGCTAGCAGAATCTTAACAATTTTTTCAAAGTTCAGCTTTAATGTTACCCACTCCTCACATGGGGATTCCTTCTTTAAATTTTTTTTTAATGTTTTTATTTATTTTTGAGACAGAGAGAGACAGAGCATGAGCAGGGGAGGGGCAGAGAGAGAGGGAGACACAGAATCCGAAGCAGGCTCCAGGCTCTGAGCTGTCAGCACAGAGCCCGACATGGGGCTCGAACTCACTTAGTGTGAGATCATGACCTGAGCTGAAGTCGGACGCTCAACCAACTGAGCCACCCAGGTGCCCTGGAGATTCTTTCTTTAGATTTCTCATACTGCACTTTGCACACACATGTATTTTAGTACTTATTAGTTAGTTGTATATGTATTGGACTTCGCAAGAGTCTGGGCTATTCACGAAAACAGACTCCAGAGCTGGAACGATCTGGATTCAAGTGCTTGTTCTGTCACTTACTAATTTTACAACCATAAGCATATATTTAACCTCTCTGAGTCTCAGTCCTTTTTCTAAATTGAAGCCAGTACTACCTACCTTATAGGAACATGGTAAAGATTGTAGCAGCATATATAAGAGGCTACACCCTCTAGTAGGTCTCCTATAGATTTTGGATATAACCCTTTATCTAATATATGGTTTGCAGATATCTTCTCCCATTCGTTGGTTGTCTTTGTTTTGCTGATTGTTCCTTCCTGAATCAGAAGCTTTTTATTTGATGAGGTCCCAGTGGTTTATTTTTGCTTTTGTTCTTACCCTTCCTCTAGCTGAATGTGTTGAATAAAGAATTGCTGCAGCCAGGGTCAAAGGGTTTTTGTCTGCTTTCTCCTAGAGGGATTTTGGTGGCTTCCTGTCTTATATTTAGGTCTCATCCATTTTGGTATTTAATTTTTGTTGTCTATGCGTGTAAGATGGTCCAGGTTCATTCTTCTGCATTTCGCTGTCCAGTTTTCAGCACCACTTGCTGAAAGACTGTCTTTATTCCATTGGAGTGATCTTTCCTGCATTTTCAAAGATTAGTTGGCCATACGTTTTGTGGGTCCATTTCTGGGTTCTCTATTCTGTTCCATTGATCATGAGTGTCTATTCTGTGCCCAGTACCATACTGTCTTGATGATGACAGCTTTGTAATACAGCTTGAAGTCTGTCTGTAGAAACACTCTGATAGTATTCTACTTTCCTGCACATAATCCCTGCCCAGACATACTCCATCCTTGAGGGTCTCACATCACTTTGTACAAGTAGTGCTGGTAGATTAGTGTGTTCATTTCCTTTGTTCAGGTTGATTCTGCATCTGGCGTGTTCATCTTTAGGATGCCTTGTTTTTCTTATTTGTATCCCACAGTAAAATCTAGTGAGTTGACAACACAGTTTTGTGAATGAAAGAAAGCTAAAGAACATGGCTAATTTATTTATATGTTAATTGTCTTTATGTGTAGTCACGGTTCTTAGCTATTTCACATTAAACAATGAAAAACATAAATTTGATATTAAAACTTTCCATTCAGAAATAAAAAATAAAATCTGAAGACTTGAGAAATATGATGAAGTATTTTGCTGTAAGTCAGATGAAAGCATATATAATGCATACTGCCTCTGTTTTTCACTATCTAAAACACACATACATTGTACAAGAGAGAATGGAAGAGTGAGCGAAGCTAAAATTCTTTAAGAAAGTGATTTTAGCATTTTTTTGTTAAAAAATTTTATTTATATTTTCCTTTTTTTTTTTAATTAAGGAAAATTAGGAACTACATGCATGTTTGGATCGTTAAAAATGATAGTAAGCAAACATTTCCTCTTATAATTGTATTTATTCCCTATATATTCTAGTATTTTTCCTTTTTATGCCTTAGAGTATCTATTATTTCTAGGCTAAAGCAGAATCTTAACATTTTCTCAAAGTTCAGCTTTAATGTTACCCCTCCTCACGATGAGTTCCTTCTTTAAATTTTTTTTTTAATGTTTTTTATTTATTTTGAGGACAGAGAGACAGACAGAGCAGTGGGAGGGGCAGAGAGAGGGGAGACAATCAGAAATGGCGCTCCAGGCTCTGAGCTGTCACTGGAAAGCCCGACAGCGAGGAACTCACTTAGTGTGAGATCATTATGACTGAAGTGGAGCGCTCGACCTAACTAGGCACCATGGTGCCCTGGAGATTCTTTCTTTAGATTTTATACTGCACTTGCAAATGTATTTTTGACTTATTAGTTGTTGTATCTTATTGGACCAAAGAGTCTGAGGCTGATTCACGAAAACAGACTCCAGGCTGGTAACGATCTTGGTTCAAATCTTTTCTGTCACTTACTAATTTTACCCATAAGCATATATTTACACCTCTCTGAGGTCTCAGTCTTTCTCGAGTTGAAGCCAGTACTTACCCTACCTATAGGAACAGGCTAAAGATTGTAGCATATATAAGAGGCCACCCTCTGAAGTAGGCGTTCATTCTGCTTGAGTCAAAAGACTTTGAGAATGTGGGGGCCTGGGTGGCGCCCAGTCGGTTCTGGCGATCCAGGCGCTTCCAGCCAGGTCACGTCTGGTCAGCAGGTTCGAGCCCTGGTCAGGCTCTGGGCTGATGGCTTTGGAGCCTGGAGCCTGTTTCCGATTCTGTCTCCCTCTCTCTCTATACTCCCCGTTTCATGCTCTGTCTCTCTCTGAAAAATAAATAAAAAAGCGTTTGAAAAAAAAAATTAAGAGCTTGGATCCTTGACTGCCCTCCTTTCCAGGTCTCTCACTTTTCCTGGAACATATTGGCAGTCTGAATCAGGAAGACTTTTAGTCAAGTTATTATTCTGCGTGTCATTATTCATGAAAATTATTTGTGTTACATATATGATATTGGGTTTTTTTTTTTTTTTTTTCCTTTAGAGAAAGAGAGAGAGCATGCAATGGGGGAGATGGGCAGGAGAAGAGAGGGGGTGGGGAGAGAGAGAGAGAGAGACAGAGAATCTCAAGCGGTAATCCAGCATATAGCATAAGCTGGATGGGCTTATTCCTCATGACCCTGAGGCAGCTGAAGCCAGAGTGGATACCC